TGTGTCGATAGTCCCCTGTGTATTAAATTATAGTTTAGTCTGGGTGTGGTGATGCATCTCTGCAAACTCAGCTGCTTTGGAGTCTAAGGCAAGAGAATTGCAAGTTTGAAGTCACCTTGAACAATTTACCAAGATCTTACCTGAAAAAAAAAGAAAAAGCTGAAGGTGTAGCTCAGCAGTAGAGAACTTGACTAAATGTTTGGCCCTGGGTCCAAACTGCAGTACTGGGGAAAAAAAAGTGCACTTTAAATATCTGTAGATTATTGTATTTAGTTATACCTCAAGAAAGATGTTAATGACAAAATTATAAAATTTGAGCTGGGCATGGTGGCACAAGCCTGTGATCCTAGCACTCAGGAGGATGAGGCAGAAGGAATGTCATGAGTTTGAGGCTAATTTGGGCTATGTAGTGAATTCAAGGCCAGCCTAAACTACACAGTGAGACCCTGTCTCAAAAAAAGAGAAAAATTGTCAGGCTTGGTAGTACATGTCCATAATCCCAGCATTCAGGAGACAGAAGAGGAATATCTGCAAATTCAAGGGCAGCCTGGGCTATACTGCAAGACCTTGCCTCAAAAAAAAAAAAAAAAAGAATTTTTTTTTAAAAAAGTATGTTGTTGTTTTCTTATTTAAAACCCTTTGATAATGCTTGGGGTGTATCTTAATAGTGGAGTACTCACTTAAGGCCTGGGCCTCATCCTTGGCATTGCACAAGAAACAAGCAAAAGCTAGTTTTTGAGGTGCTGGGATCCAACTCAGGGCCTCATGCATGCTATAAGAAATGAACTTTGTTACAGCTTCTCTGTTCACTCAGTAAAAGCCTGACTGTTGTCTGCAGGCCCTGAATAGTTTCCCCAGCCACAGTGGCTTTCTCGCTGTGCCACAGATGCATAAAGACATGCTCTTGCTGTGGTTCCAGCTGGAAGTGCTAGATACCCAAGTGGCTTTTTCCTTTTAGGTCTTTACCCTGTCATCACTGGGTAACTAACCTTCCTGTTCATCGTCCTTTTACTTCCTTGCTCTTCCTAGCATGTGTTAACATTGATAGTGATAT